ATCATATAACATGTAGGGTGGAATCTAAGAGTGCTCAAATATCATTTTTTTTTTTTTTTGGTTCTTCCAAATGGTCCAAATAGTAGAAAGAAAGAGACTAGGCGAATGTTGATGAGGGGCTTTAGTAGATATGGTAACTATTGCATTTTCCCCAACCGTGTGCCAAAGTTAAGTGAAAAGAACTCTATCTTTTCTAAGTAACAAAAAAAAAAAAGCCCTTTAATTTGTTCATAGCATCTTAATCTCCAAAATCTATACCACCTATGTTGTTTTTGTAGTAATGAGAAGGCTAACCTCATTGAGAATTAACCACTAAAGGACCCTTTTAAACAAATTTTGTTTACTAAACTAGCCAAAAGTAGAGGTAGGGGTAGTTAACACACTCCTAACCATATGCTCAGGCAAAAAGTAGATTAATAAGTTAATTTCCCATTGTCTATCCTACATGAGAATTGTTAAGATAGATGCTACTAGTAGCTCATCCAAAACATGAATTAACAAATTATTCAAGAGCCTTGAGTCATCAACCTAAACATCATGCCATAGCCAAATATTAGTTTCAAACTTACATGCCACTTCAAGCCCAATTATAGTACATTCTTATATCCTAAGATGTTTTTCCAAGTTGCCAAGGATATTAGGATTATAGGACATCTTATGAAAGACACTAAAAGTAGACATTTTTGTGACATAACTCAGCACCAAGTTTTTTACTTATTAGTAACAAATTGCCACATTAGTTTTGTAAGCAATAATTATTTATTTTTCTTAGCAAAGCCAAGCTCCGAGCCTTTAAACTCACATGGTAGGCTACCATCTTGTCGACTAACCAAATGTGGTTTATGAATAGTAGCATTAAAGCCCTATAAAAAATTTCTATTTAGGCAATCAATTGTGCAGAAATTATTTGGCAATAATTGTGTTTGCATGGCATAGGTTGGTATTGTTGAAGTGATTAATGGAACCATGATCTTTCTCTTTGCCCAGCTTAACATGGTTTGCTTCTAACTAGCCAATTTGACTTGGATTTTCTCAAGAATAGGCTTTTATGTACTAGCAAGGCACCAACTTGTGTAGGATAGCCACACCTAGATAAATGCCTAAATCTCTAGTGAGAGGAATACCATAGGGTTCATTAAAGGTGCTAGCCACTTACCTTTGAATGTTTAGCGAGACATACAACTTGGATTTAGTCAAATTTATATCCAAACTAGAACAACTTATGAACTTCAAAATGCAATCCATGCATTACTACTACCACTTGTGCTTGAGAAGCTTTATAAAAGAGGATAAGATCATTGGCAAAAATAGATACGGCAAGACTATACCTCCTCTAGAAATCAAATGGGTTTTGTGATTTAGATTAGACTTTACTTAAAAGATCATATAGGAAAGATTCTTGATTACCATGATCAATTATTATAAATATATCAAGGATTAGGGTGTTTTCTAAATAAATTTCAAAAGCTCTCCTTGGTCTCACCCTTCCTTCCACCCCTAACAAAGGGAATCCTTATGCATCAACAATAAAAGCAAACTAGAAGATATTCTTATAGCAATTGTCAAACAAGATTATGCCTATGACAAATAAAGACAATTAAGTAAAAAGAGCCATCTAATATCTAAGATTACAAAGATGTTCACTACGAGGGCATTTATAAACTAGGAAGATTACCACAATGAGCATCTTGACCTACTAGATAATTTCATCTACGATGCCAACTTCTAAGGATAGCAAAGTTTTAGTCTTATAGCAACCACCACCAACTAGAGACACTACCATCACAAACAAGACTATTTAGTAAAGGGATTAAAATCCCTCAGCTCACCACTGAATTCGCTTTCAACTTCCAATTTATGCATGGTATTTTTTAATCCTATTAAAAATGACTTTTCCCTTATGAAGACCTTTCCAATGAAGCACAAAACTTATTTCTCCCTGACTACTAAACACCACTTAAGTTCCATAGAGATCTCTTTCCTTCTTGTTCTCCTATGCTCCTCCCTTACAAGATTAGACCGAACTATCCTCCATTAGCCATGAATTGAAGGATTAGAATTCTCCACACTTAGAATAATGCAAGAGCTACCTTAAAGCCTTGCCTACTTATCATCAATTGCTCAACAATGTGAGCACCATAAACTATTAATGGGACCAATGCTAATCTATAAGACCCTTATAATCTTGTAGTACAAAGCAATCATACGCAACATGCAACAAGTCCTCATGATTTTTGGACAAAAATTGTTGCCTAATACCTAACACTAATCAAAATCATAAAAGGAAAAGGGAAAACTCCCAAGCTAAGAGAAGAACCTTAAGGAAAGACTCACAACTCCAATAACAGATAGTTGCCTCACATTCTATAACTAAAAATCAAAGAGTAATGCTACAAAGATCAATCGGTCTATAGTCTTATGGGTCCTTATTATAAGATCCCATGCCAAAGCACTAAACACCATTAGTGATATTGTTTGCTTTTAACCTATTGAAATGGGTCTCAAGATTTTAAAAGGCCTCACTAGGGAAGTGGTGGGTTTGCACTTATAAACCTAAGACCTCTAACATACCTGGCCAAAGTGGGATTCACCTAAGGGGTCTAGGCCTTGACACTTGCCCCACCACCATTCTAAGGGTCACATGAGCCGCTTTGATACCAATTGTAATATCTTGCACCAAAGAACTTGAACACCACTAATGATATTGTCCACTTATAGCTTTAAAAGGCCTTATGAGGGTGGTGGTGGGTTTGCACTTAAAAACCCAAGGCCCCTCACGTGCTTGGCCACTGTAGGATTCACCTAAGATCTCTAGGAGTTGATACCTTTGAAGTGTGTTGACACCTCCGTTTAATAGGTTATCACACCTATAACTTATTATTATTATTATTATAGGATTAATAGCTTTTAATTTTTATTTATAAGTCCAACAATTTACTTTTCTAGAATATTAAGCTTAAACTTCAACTATTAAACTATAAACTTTAATAATATAAACCTTAAATCCTAAAATTAAAATCCTAACATCCTAAAAAATCTAAATCCAACACTTTAAACTAATAAACCTTAAACACAAAATGTTGAACATTGAAATAATTTAGACCCTAACTCCCTTATTATTAAGGGAATGGATCCATTGCATTACTTTTAACCATTAATAAAGGGATGGAGCCCCCAACCCCATTCATTAATGATTAAATGAATTGCAGCCATGAATAATTTGAATTGAACTCTTTGAGGTGCTTCGGTCGCTCCAGCATTTTCGAGGATCAAAAGAACTACAAAAAGTAAAGGTTAAAATACGAATTTGGTTTCTCAATTTTTAAATTTATATAAAAATTATTTATAAGCTTTAAAAATTATTAAATTTGTTTCTAAATTATAATCTTCGATACTAAAATTATCCTTTTATCTACAAAAGTGTCATGTAGCTACTTATTTTGCATAAAATCAATTGTTATTTAAAATATTAATAACGTATAAAATCACACAATCATATTTTGTCATCATGGCATTAAAGTTGAAGGACTAAGTTAATATTTGTAATCCAAGTTTAAAGCTTAAGTTGATTTTAATGTGTAAATAAAAATATGCTATGATAGCAAAACATAATTATTTGATTTTATGTGTCATTAATATTTTAAAAAAAAACTGATTTTCTAACAAAATAACAAGTGACATAACACCTTTGTTAATGAAATAACTATTTTAGTATAAAAAAATTAAAATTTCAGAATAATTTTGACACTTTTTAAAGTTCAAAAACAATTCTAGTACAAATTTAAAAATTGAGAAATAAAATTAGCATTTTAACCAAAAATAAATGTTACAAAATGACTGAAAAGATGATAGCTTTTTCTAGATAAAAATTGGCCTACGTTTCCAAGAAATCGAGACACACAAAACAAAGTCATAGATGACGTGAATAATGCTCTACGAAGATGCTACTGCATATACTCTCAAACACATTCCACGTGTATTAATTAATTGACCCATTCCCATGCGTGGATTTTTCTTCTTTTTAATTTGTGCTGCCAATAATATGTCGGAGATTAAAGTTAAAATCATTGGTTTGGCCTTCGCCATACTAGTATTGGTCCCAATGGCTTAACGTTGGAAATCGTGCCACCACATACTAACGTTGTTGAAATCAATTAAGGGCAAAAAAATAGCACTTATAACTTCTGACTATTATATCCTTAATTTTAATTCAGTTTTAATTTTAATATAAATAAAATATAAATTAAATTTGATGTAAATTAAGAGATATATGATTAATTAAAATAAAAAAATATTACATTAACAATGAAGAGTATGATAATAACACTGAACCTTTAAAATAGGTTAAATACCTTTTTTGGTCCCTCTATTATAGGAAAAAGTCCTTTTTTGGTTCCTGTACCGAAAAAATTTCCTTTTTGGTCCTTACTGTTTACAAATCTGACCCCTTTTTAGTCACTCCATTAAATTTTGGCTGATGTGGCAGGTTAATTAACGGAAAAATTTATTTTGTTTTTTTTATTAAATTACGTGGAAAATCCACATGGGAAAAATTGATGACATGCTAAATTTTTTATTTTTAATTACTGATTTGCCCTCAAAGATTGATGACATGGTAAAATTTTTTCCTTTAATTATTAATTTACCCTCTTCTTTCTTCCCCATCCTCTCCTTCGTTTGGCCTTTTCTTTTTTTTCTTTTTCTCTTTTTACCTCTAGGCGATGGGTTCGCAAGGAACCCAGGCTCCTGGGTGTGCGAACCTAGCTCTGGAGCTTGGGTTCGCACCTCGCGAACCCACGAGCTGGGTTCACGAGGAACCCAGGCTCCTGGGTGTGCGAACCCAGCTCGTGGGTTCGCACCCAGGAGCCTGGGTTCGTACCTCGTGAACCTAAGAGCTGGGTTCGCACCTCGCAAACCCACGAGCTAGGTTCGCGAGGAACCCAGGCTCCTGGGTGTGCGAACCCAACTCTGGAGCCTGGGTTCGCGAGGAACCCAGGCTCCTGGGTGTGCAAACCCAGCTCTGGAGCCTGGGTTCGCACCTCGTTGGGTTCGCGAGGAACCCAACTCGCGGGTTCGCACCCAGGAGCCTTTTTCTCCTTCATATTAACACTGGTTGGTTCATTTTGTTTGTTCGTTATGGATGCCTTTTAGGTTTTGCGAACCCAGGCTCTTGGGTTTGCCTGAAGGTAAAAGAAAAAAAAAAGGCTAGAGGAAGGAGAAGCCGGGGAAGAGGACGAGGGTATATCAGTAATTAAAAATAAAAAATTTAGCATGTCATCAATTTTTGTCACGTGGAAAATCCACGTAATTTAATAAAAAAAAAAGAAATGAATTTTTCTGTTAATTAACCTGCTACATCAGTCAAAATTTAACGGAGGGACTAAAAAGGGCCGTATTTGTGAACAGTAAGGACCAAAAAAGGGATTTTTTCGGTACATGGACCAAAAAAGAACTTTTTCCTATAGTAGAGGGACCAAAAAGGGTATTTAACCTTTAAAATATTTGCATAACCTCTCTTGAGGTCTTAAAATGTTACAAAAATGCTTGATCATTATACTATAGTCTATATATTATTTTTATGTAAAATGTATAAAAAATGTTTAATAAATTACTTTTTTTTGTAAGAATCATAAATTTTATTGATAAGCAATAAAATACATCAAATTGCTTCTAACATTAATATATAAAAATGTGCCCTATGCAAATGATTTCATTAAGTAGCGGAAATCTCCCATACTAATTAATTGCATAGGGATATTGACAAGTTGAAAGAAAGTTAGCTTCGAACATCAATAAAATCTAAATAAGTATATCTGCTCCTCAACTTTTTCAACAACTAGTGATAAGCCCTTGAACTAAAAAAGTGACAGATAAGCCCTCAAACCCCACGTAAAGAGCAAATTAGCCCTTTCACTAACTGAGCTCTATCATGCGTTAGTGTAATGGCTTACGTGGCATTTGACATCCAACTGACTCCAACATGGTTCCAACATGGGTCCAACGTGGCATCGATGGTCAATGGGCGGGAATCACCCCCGCCTAAACAAAGAACTCCTAGGAAATGAAGAATTCTTTATAACATAAAGAATAAAAAAAATACCTTGATATTATGATTTCATGTAAAATTATTAAAATATTTTTAATAAATATTTTTTATTGATTTATTAAAGTTATTTTAATCCTTTTATTATTATATATGGTATTTTAATTACATTTCAACATTGTTTAAAAAAATTAAAATATCAAAAATAAAAATAAAAATATTAAAATATCTTTAGTGAATCAACACAAAAAATATTTATTAAGGATATTTAAATAATTTAACAAGGATTTTTGAAATTTAAAGTATCAAAATTGTGCCTTAAAAGACACATTTTTATTATTATTTTATATTGAAAAATATAAAAAATAATATTAATTTTAGTGTTATTATTGTGTCGATAAATTTAATTAGATAACTAATAAATTAAATATCAATATTTATTTTTTCAATATAAATTTATAATAAAAAAATATATTTATTATATCTTTAATATATATGCATTTTAAGAGTAAATATTAGAAAAACCCTTTCATAATACTCCCTCTATTCATTTTAAATAGATCTAGTTTGTTTATCTAACAAAATAGAGATATAACAATTTATTAATAAAATTTCATATTTATCTCTAATTAAATAACACTTAAGTAAGACTTTTTATTTAATATATGTTGTAATTATTTTTTAAAAAACGAAGGATAATAAGAATAAACATATTAAATAATATCTTAAAAATAAAAAGTGAATAATTAAATTTAGACACACTGAATAAAAAATTAAATCTACCAAATTTGAATTAAAATAAAAATTAATAACAAAAATAAAGAACATGTTAAAAAAATTTTATTTATTAAGTAATTTAATTAAATTTAAAAAGTAATTTATAAAGATTATTGAAGTACCAATGACTTGGTCCGAATGAAAGGAATTTAGTTTTTCTTAAATAACTTCTCGAGTTTGATTCTTGTGAATGAAGAAACAGACGCTAAAAGATTTTCTCCTTAATGGGGTCCAATACGGTTCAATTTAAAATTAATCAGAACTCAATGTGATTATCGAATACCAAAAGGTTATTAAAAAAAAAGTATTAAAGTAAAATATATTACTAATTAAAATAAAAAAATATCATTATTTCATTAAAAAATATTTGAGGATATGTGTATTATATAATATTAATTAATTGATTTAAAAATTAATTAATTTAAAAAATATATTATTACTAAAAACAAATGAAGTAAAAGAAAAAAAAAAACATGCAAAGGTGTGCAGGTGCAACGCCACGGAAGCTAATGATAAATGGCGTCACGAAGTCAGTTAGCGGAGGGGCTAATTTGCTCCTTGCATGGGGTTTGAGGGCTTATCTGCCACTTTTTTAGCTCAGGGGCTTATCACTAGCTGTTGAAAAAATTGAGGGGCTTAACATGGGTTTTTGCCTAAAAGAAGGCACTACAATAGTCCACTACCTACTCTAGCACCTAGCATATATAATTAGTAACCGATGGGCGGATGAAAATGCTCGACACAAAACTTTGGATAAAAATCATAAATTATTATTTTTAATAATATTATGAAAAAGGGTTTTGTCTGTTGAATTTTTAAACTATTAAGATGAAAAATATTTTTAATATATATCATTTTAATAATTTTTCATTAAAAATATTAAAATAACATATTTTTAAAATAATAATAAAATTATTTTAATTTTTAATAATAACTTATTTAAATAAAATATTTTTTCTTACTTTTAAAAAAATTTAATTAATAAACAATAATATCTATTTTATTATTATTATTATTATTTGTCTTCAATGGAGTCCAAGTAATTTCGGGAAGCACTCTCCCAAATTTGAGAGAAAATTCTTACCCTTAGGGCGTGTATGGCTCACGAGGAGCCCGAAGAAAGTTTTTCCAAAAGCCATCAAGCCGTGAGCTATGGTTTACTCTCGGGAGAGAAAAAAAAATTTCCAGGAGCATGGGGTAAAGTTTTCTAATATATGTTGGCTTAATGCACTTAAAGAGGGATGAATTGAAGTTTAAAAATTCTCCTTTTTACAACCATAACTTGAAAATTAAAGAGTAAAGGGAAGAAGGAGCTTGCATAAATGTTTTATAGAGATTCAATCTAACTATTTAGTATCTAATCCTTTGTAGTGACTTCAATTTTCAAGAATTTCTTTCATACTCTTGGTAGAAATAAAAAAATAACTTAAAATAGCTACTAAATCCTTTTACAACAAAGGAATATATATCTCACAACCTCACCCTTTTTACAAAGGAATATATATAACTTAAAATTCTTAAAATCTTCAAATAAATCTTCAATAACTACGGAATAAATACCCAATAAGCTTTTGAGCATTTTTAATAAATACAAAATAAATACCAAATAGAATTTTAAAATCTTTAATAAATACCAAAACATAAACGATTTAATATTCCAATTCAAATACCATATTAATTGTGGGAGTCTAGAATCAAGCACAAAGCATAAAATAAAATACAAAAAACAAATATTTTAAATATTTTAAATGTACGGGCCTTTTGACTATATTAACTATATTTTCAATAAACATAATTAAATAATATAGCAATAATAATTGTATAGAGCTCAATCTTACTTCTCTAATATCATAATGGAGCATTATTATTAATCATTAATTCGGATAAAAATATTTACTTTTATATTTTTAATAATATTTTTTATATTACAAATTTACTTCAAATATTTTAATTATATTTCAAGAGTTAGGATTCCTTTATATACAAATTTTATACACTACATTTATACAAAATTTTATTTATTCATCTTTCTACTTTTAATAGTTGAAATTTATTTATTTTTGTATCATATTTATTAAATATAATTATTTTTTATCTAAAAAGTCGTAATAAATCTTAGCTATTAAAAATGAAAAAATAAATTATCAAAATTTTGTGTAAATATAGTATATAAAACTTATATATAGATGGAGATCCCTACTCATATTTCAATTTGATCGATAAGAGCTTGACTAAATTGGTATATGCTAAATTAAAAGGCTTGATTTGGGCTAAAAGTAAAAAATTCAAATCTCTATACTACAAAGTAGTTAGCCATCCTACATATAAAAAAATTATATTTCAATTTGAACTCAACTATATTTTTAATAATAATCTCTCCATACACATTTTCCAAATTATATCTTATAATATATGATAAATTTTGCTAAAATTTTCAATAAATCTAGAATAAATTTCAAATGTGACTTCTAAAATTCTCAATAATATCTTCACTAAATCTCCCTAAAGCTCTAAATAATTCCCAATCAACCTTCTACAATATTCAATAAATCTTCAAAAATCTCAAATAAAAACCCAATAAGTTTCTTAAATAAAACTTATTATGAAAGTTGAAGCCCAACTAACTCTACTTATATGGAATTGACTTCAATTTATAGTTTTATATTGAATTAAAAAGTTGTGTCTAAAAAATGATTATATAATCATCGATAAAGGTGTAAGGAGTGATTAAAAATGAATAATATTGTCACGCCCCAAAACCCAATTTCGAGACGCGACAGACGCCGTGCACTCGTGAGAGGATCCCACAAATGCACAAGGCTCGGAACTTATCATATCACATCTGATACCATCAAAATCTGAAGATCAACTTTTAAAATCTGCTCTAATATCATAAAATCTCCAAATACAAGATCATGATTCATATCTAAAATTTATATTCACTTTACAAAATGGCTAGCCTTCTAACTCGTCACTTCCCGTGGTTTCCCCGTCCTCGGTTTCACTTCCTGAAATGGTGGACAAGGAAAAACTATGAGATAAACTCAGTAAGTAAATATGGAGTGCCCCTTATCAAACTTAAAGCATGCCAACAAGTACAAGCACGAAAACAGGTACAGTACGGGCACGAAATAGATGTCTCCTTTATAGGTCATGGCCAGCGTTTATAAACCTCCCACTGGCGGGCACACGAGTTACTAGCGTATAATCCCCACTAGTAGGGCCACGAGCGAACCGGTTCTATCACGAACATGTCGACATGTGCTAGCGTTTATAAACCTCCCACTAGCGTGCACACGAATAACATGACCACATCGGAGACAAAACAGGCAGAAGTTAACAGGAAAATCACGATTCACAATCACTTTCAAATCATCAGGATAGTCATTTAAACTTTCAAATAGGCATGCTCAATTTAATGAAAAGCATAAAACATTTCACTTCAAATCAGTCATGCTCGTGTAAAACGGGTTTAGTCCCGCCACCACTTCAAAAACAAATCAAAACATGCTTTTAAAACAATACGGGCATTACCATAAATTACTTACCTCACTTGCATAAAACCGAGAATTCACTCCATAAAACCGAGCACTCAATTCACGTACTAAACTGACAGGACGATCGGGAACCTAATCAAAACACCTCAGAATTAATACCGGACTATCACAAATTCAAGCTGAAATCATCATTAGGATCATTCCTAATCACAATGCTATTTCTATCACTTTCCACATGATCGGACATCTCCAAATTCATTCTTATATCACAAACTAATCATTTAAATCCCCGTTAAATGTTGACTCTCGGGGTGTGAACAGTAACCGGTGAACAGTGCCGTCAACAGTGTCGGTGAACAGTAACCCCGACTTTCACAAATTGGCCAAAACACTAGCTAATTCCACAGGATTTTCTCTCCAACAATCACACAACCAACTAACACTCAATCATATAAATTCCACTTGAATCAAGCTAAATCATGGTCTTAAAGCTATCAATTTTCTCCCCTAATTAATCCAGAATTTCGGACACAAAGGGCAGCAATTAAATGGCTAAAATCTGCACTTAAAGAAGCTGCCACATACCAGAATTTGCAGCTAGCAGAACCGGGCCTAGCAGGGGGGAGAAGGCCGGCGGCAAGCTGCAGGGAAAACTCACGGAACTACCCAAAAATTGAAGGAAATAAGAGCAATTAAGGCAAACCCAAGGCAATTAAAGCTGAAGAAGGGAGATTCATGGCTATTTCTTACCAAAAAACCGAACAAATCACACCCACAAAGCAGGAGCAGCCAGACGGTGAGGAGCAGAGCAAGGCAGATCCGAAAGCTTCCTGCCGGGGGAGAATTTCTGGGTTCCAATCAGGTTCTAGAGCAAGAAAATAAGGCCAAAAACCAAGCTTTCTACCGGTTTCCTCAAGGCATGGCTGGGTTCCCCTTTTTTTTTTTTTTTTTTTTGGGGCTGCAACGGGAAGACAAGAGCAGAAACAGGCTGGAGAAGAAAGAGGAAAAGGGAGAAAAGAAATAAGCCATCCTTATCCAAATTCTTTCCCTCTTTAAGCCCCTCAACTTTTGAAATTTTGGCAATTAAGCCCAAAACAATATTTTCTCACACAAAAACCCTTACTTAAATGCTAAAATAGCACAAAATTTTGGGGTATTACAAATATAATGGAAGAATAAGGGAATAAAGAATAATAACAAACAAATTATTAATATAAAAAGAAAATGAGGGCAAATATAAGTAAATAAAATGATAAAATATGTAAAGATAAGTTAAGAGATGATGTCTTAGAAAAACTAATAAAAGGTAGAGTATAGTTAACTGAAAAGTGTTAAGAGAATAATGCTAATTGGGGTATGTCTTTTATATTTTAACTCAAAACCTTTCAAATATGGGTATTTGGTAGAGAGGAGAAATTAGGGTGGAAACAATATATACAATAGTAATAGTTATAGTAATAGTTATAGTTATAGATGCAAAGATTTGATGAAATGTTTTATCATGTTTATCTAAAAAGTTTTAATAGATATAGAAGTTAGATATCTTTTTATAATAAATTTTATGTGTTTGAAATGATTTTTATATTAGTTAATTATAAAATAGTTTCAATTATGAAACAATATATTACATTTAACAATTGCCAAAAAGGTACAACTCAAATGAACTGCATGTAGCGTCATTTTAGAGCCTAGTTGACTACTTTAGAACGATAGCGGATTATTTTAAAGTTTAGCAATTTTTCAAAAATGATTTTCCAATAATTAATAATTAAAAATAATCACCTTCTAGTTCGTATCTTTCTTTGTCATTTTTATTTTATGAGTAGTGATATAAATAATGAAAATTTAGGTTAAATTTGAGACTAATGATGTGATATAAATTATATTATTAAATTAGTTGATACATTTAATGTTTACTTCAATAAAATAAAAAGAGTTAATTATTAAATAATATAAAGTATTTTTTAATATTTTAAATAACTTATGTTATGTTGTTGATTCCAAATTTTAGTCTCAAAATTTTTATCCATTTATCGTTATCCTTATTTTATATTTAAAAATATCATTTTAAAATGAAAAGTTTTATATTTAGACTAAAACATACATTTTTTTACGACAAAAAATAAAGAAACTAAAAATGGATTTGAAAATTATATAATGTAGTATAATCCCTCCTAAATGTTAATTAAATTCAAATGCAACCTTTTTTTTTAACAAACTTTTTGATATCTCAGAGTTACATTAGATTCTGACTAATACAGAATCGGGTTACGTTGGACCCCATAAGGAGGCAAACTCTTTCAATGCCTGTTTTTCCATTTACAACACTAGAACTCAAGACCTTATTTAAGGAGAACTGACCTCCTTTCACTTATACTAATAGGTCATTGGTTAAACACAGTCATATTATCTCATTGCCTATACCATAGGCCTATAGCGACACAAAATAAAAAAGTTTTCTAGAAGTTTTTAATAATATTAAAGTGAGATTAGGGGTGCATTTAGGATTGTGATTGGTTTTTTTTTTTTTTCTTTTAGTCATCTAGTAATTTTAAATATATTTGTGTTTGGTAATTTTTTCTAAAACCTGATTTTACAGTTATTTGGTTGTACTTTCATTGATAACACCTAATATTTAATATTTAATACAATTAGAAAATTGCCTATTAAAACCCAACCTCATTTAATTTAATTACATCATAATTTATAATACTTTATTTAAACCTAACCTCTCTCTTATTTGAAAATTTCATAAAAAATTAAAAACTCATTCTCATTGCTCCTCTACAAAACCTAAAAGAACACTCATCATATAAAACCTAAAAAACCTAAATATTACAAAAATTTACCACATATTATCCAATGTACTTTTAAAAAATAAAGGTTAAACCCCCAATTTGATCCCTCAACTATTGTATGGACCTTCGATTTGGTCCCTACTATTTGCCAATTTAGCCTTAAGTTGGTCCTATACAAAAACAAATAATCTGTCTCATTATTAATGTGACACATGGGCGTTAAATAATGATTTTCTAGTGTTAAGTAATAGATATATCAGCTATTTTTTAACAAAATGACCAACTTGGGACCTAATCGATAAATAGTAGATACCAAATTAGGGATTTTTTTTAGTTCAGGGACCAATTCAAGGGTTTGTATAATAGATGAGGGACCAAATTGGGAGTTTAACCAAAAATAAATAACTAAATACCAAAATAACTTTTCAGCCATAGTTACAAAATAGCACATGTTCGCACAACTACAACCATAGTTATAATCACAACACTTCACAGTATTTTAAACGCACGCTAAGTTGTCTAAATTTTAAAGTTAAACTGATTGGTTGCAACTAATTGATGATAGGCACCTGCAAATAATTGAGTTCACCTGATCTGTATCACAAATTTGGGAAGGCCCATTCTAGCAAGCAATAATTTCATCTCTTATTCGTTTACCCAAACAATTAGGTTTAATCATAATTACAATTCATTCTTATATATTAAGAAAGTTACAATCTCATCCTTCCTTAAACATTGAGGGAAAAGATATCCCTTTCAATATAAAGTTGTTGGGATCAACTGATACCAACATAAGTTACATCATAATCTGCATTAGTTAAAAATTCTTCATAGAGTTTGTACTTTGACAAACTAACCATTGAAATTAGTATCTTATTTGTGTAGATTATACATGTAAAATTTCAAATTAATTGAATGTGTTTAACTGTTTTATAATTACACTTTATTTTAAACTATCAAATAAATAATAGAAAACATAGTTTCTTTGTTCATAAAGTTACATATATCAAATTAGCTTGAAGTTTGAGATGCATAACCTAAATAAATAAAATGTTGGTTTGGCAAAATACAAACTATATAAAGAATTCTTGATTGGTGTAAGTTACACTAGTGTAAGTTGATACTAACTGATAAAGTTATGTTAAGTAATATTGCCAAATCATTTGCAAACTTCTGAGGTTTATTTATACAAACTTAGTTAAAGCTCCCTCTATTAAACCTAAATAACAAGATGAATGTACTTTAAGGATTGAGGGAAGTTTGGGGGTAAAGTAGATAAAAGCCGAAAATAAGACAAAAACCTACAGGTAAATTTGGATGTTGTACTTTTGGATGCAATGACATTTGGGTTAAAGGGGTGATGGAAGTGCATCTCAAAGAGGTGAACTTCTTGAATCTATTCAACCTACAAGACTATCCCTAGATATGGCATTTGTTAGGAGATTTCTTTGGGTACAGTTGGGTAAAAGTAGATAAGCTTCTTTTTTGACTGATGGGTGGCAATTATTATCCACAGCCCAAAAATCAAAGGTGTAGATTTGACTATTTAGGATGTGAATTCATTAGTGGCAAACTAGAGACATTGGATAACTTAGGTTGACCTTATTAGCTTTAGAAGGAGCTTTCCTTCACTTTCAAATAGGAACAATTTTGTACATATTTAGGAAAGAGATGATAAATTTAATTAGACATAAAGTAAAAATGGAGAATTTGTTGTGCCATTCTGCTATTAGCTATTGAGGAATAAAAGGCTTGAAGTTCCTTGGAGTTGTTACTTAAACTAGAGTAGTTCCTTTGCACAAGAGCAAGCAATCTTGGAAGACAAACTTAATAAGATTTCTTTAAGGTAGATAGTTCGATACTTAGGTCAATAGTATTATAATAGAATCACTCTTAGAGAAAGAAGCTCTCTACTGTATTAAGTCAAGTTATAAAGTGTCAATGCCTTTATAAGAAGTTTGTTGAGGAGTATTTACAGCCTATTGGCCAAGGGTTAGAGTCTATGTGGCACAATCTTGATGGTCCAAATTGTTAGAGTATGCCCTACAAACCAATTAGGTTAGAATAATTTATGTAGTTGAGATTATGCTCATTATATTTTATATAATATTTATGGCATACTTTATCAAATCAAAACTATTATTCTTTCTCATACATTAAATATCAATAAAGTTTTTAAAATGTTTACTATATCAAAAGGGAGTAGCAACCCTTACTATTAGTGAGAATCATATTATGTGATATCAACATTCTTAAATTGTCTATTAGTCACATAAATCTTGAGATGAGACATCTATCAATGTAAAGACTAACACATGTGACACTTTGCTAAGTGGCAAGACCTTTTCTTATGAAGTCATGTGCTACATACAGGTAGCTCAAAAATGATGAGTGCACCAAATTAACTTACCATGAGAATGCTACATGAATGTGTCATTAGTGATATCTCAATTATGGCATGAGTGTACAAGATATTTTGACTTGAGATGATTATTATTAGGTTAAATGCCAATTTTGGTTCCTCAACTTTAAGGTTTTACACAATTTTTGTCTCTCAACTTTTTTGTGCACTTTTTTGGTCCATCAACTATGAAAATTACACTTTTTTAGACCTTTCATTAGTTAGTTCATTAAGTTTATCTAAATATGAAATTTTTAATCCTTTAACTTAAAGTTGAGGAATAAAAAATATGCATATATTAGAAGTTGAAAGACTAAAAATGTGCATATTTAGACAAACTTATTGGATTAACTAATGGAAAGACTAAAAAAGTACATTTTTCATTATTGAGGGACCAAAAAAGTGCATAAAAAATTGAGGGACCAAAATTAGTATTTAACCTTATTAATATATGCAAGAAGTCATGCACTTTAATGCTGTTCAAAATAGCTATTGTGAGGGGTTTGAGTAATATAATTTTGAGATCATTGTTCCTTACAAAATTGTCACTAACATTGATCATTATCCATTTGGGCTAGTCATTAAAGAATAAGAGATTTTGTCTTGTGGTTGATCGCACTAGTGAGTTAGCCTGATAGGAATGGGTGTGACAATTGAAACTTTGAGGCAGCGTTTTAGTCACATAATGAGCACAAGTAATGGGCTTGAAAGCAAGATTGGCAATTGTTTAATAAACATTTAGGGTTTGATGAGTAGTGCTTGGAGTTATATTAGTGAAAT